GCAAGGGAACGAGGGGAAGGGTAAGAGGAGGGGGGGGGGCGTGGAAGGGGAGGTAAACGAAGCAGGCTATACAAGCCACAAAATGAGAGGCTGTCCCCATCGCTGTGTCTTCAAATCCACCCCACAATTTCATTTTAGTTACTAAAAAATTAGGCCGAGTTCAAATCCTTTAAAATCCAGAATTTAGCCTCCCCCCCCCCTCTCCTGATCCCCTTGCCCCCTGATATCTTTCAAGAAAAAAAAATACCTTATCAACATTGGTCCTATTTTTTGCTGAAGTTTCAATGTACGGTGCATTCCACTGCTCGGCCCTTTGTTGTGCCTGCAGTTGCATCACCGATCGTTCACTTGTCAAATCCGATTTGTTGCCAACCAGCATTATTGGAATCGACGAATCCATCGCCGAATTCTTCACACGCAATATTTGCTCCCTGCAAAAAAAAAACATTAAGCACCAACAATAAACAAAATAACAAAATTTTGTACTTTTAGGCTCAACAACAGAGTTGCTTCTAACAATCTGTGATAACGCTTTTCTCAACTGGAACACAATGGACGTAAAATGAAGCCCGCAACTGTGCATACATTTTTTTTTCTTATCCTGTTTGATCAAACACACGGAACATTTTGTTCTGTTTGATGAATAAACATATAAAAATATATGCGACTTGATAGACCGAAACATCCCCATTCAGATTTTAATCTTATTTTATTCACATCTCCCTTTCTTATTTCCTTACAATCTTTCATAAACATATACCACATATAACAACTAAAATTAAAACTAAAATAAATATACATACAAAAATAAAAGTAAACACTCCCAACATCTTATGAAATAATTCAAGTTTTTATAAAAACACGATAAATTCGTACGATACCAGTTGTACTGATGAGGTGCAGTTGCGCTTGTAGGATGAAACGTACAAATCTTAATAAATCAAAACTTCCCCATCCTAGCTGTTCCCACTATCTCTTTATATATTTTTTATAATTTATTCATTCACTCATATGTATTTCTTTATTTGCTTAAATATATTTGTTTTCACGCAACTCCTCCATAAATAGTTTCCATTTCTTCCTCTCTTTTTTTATATTATTATTTATTTATTCAGCTGCATCGATGACGTGACAACGAATGTCGATGACATACAGCTGCCCAAGTATTCATGTGTTTCTTTATCCGTGTTTCTTTTACTTTATTTTTATTCATTTTCATCCACTTCTGGCTACTTATAAACACATTACCACATGGCCGCCTTCCAAATCAAGCATCTCTACGTTGAGTGAAATATCAAAGAATAAGCCAAAATAGCATATAACTTGCCTGAACTCATTGGTTGCTTCAAAGGATTCGGTGTCTGTGATCGAAAATACACAAATAAATCCTTCACCACTCCGGTAGTAATTATCCCTAAAAAGCAACTGACATCAATAATATATCAAAATTATCGATACTGATTCAAAAATTTCCCACGAAAAGCCGATATTTACTGGAGAAGGGGGTATGTGCTGCTTATAGAAGAAACATTAGAAACTGTATATCGTGTGAAAAACCACTGCATCATTGATTCCTGTGCTCCACACACCAGTGCGTGGAGCACAGGAATCAATGATGCAGTGGTTTTAGCACGTCACATTCGAATGTGAAGAAGAGTAGTTCGATTTCCTCCCGGTCAATTCCCCCTTGCAAATGGGAGCTTCGGCCGCTAAAAAGTGGAATCCCAATAATTTAAACAGGAACTATACTCTTTTGCGAATTCATATTTTCACAAACAAACAACTGTGGAAACAACTACATGTAATTTAGTAAAAATCTAGTAAAAAAAAACACACTCCTGCCATTCTTTTATAATTACCTAATTGCAGAATAATCTTCTTGACCAGCGGTGTCCAAGATGTCGATTAAACATTCCTCACCATCTAACACCACTTTTTTCCGGTACGAATCTGCTTTTGTCGGCTCATACTCTTCCACAAACTGGAAAAAAAATTTTTTTCATACGATGGAAGACAAAAGTCATAGCATTTTTCGTTTCATATGATTTAAAACACTGCCCTGTGTTTTTAACCTGAACGAAAATAATAAAATCATTTCTAAGAATTGAAAAAGTTGGAGAATTCTGAACACACAGCTTCCAATTATCTATGTGACCAAAAATTAGCTTCCAAACCTTTCACGCCATGAAATTCATTCCTGAACTAAAAATACAGAAGATGAAAAAAAGCACTAGTCATCAATTCTGGCATTTTTTTTGCTCCGTTCAATATAATAATCTGTGGTAACCAAATGGTAAATTAATAACAAAATATCAAGATCACTGGGAGTATCAGTTAGAGTACTCATTTTACTGATTTTATTGGAACGCTTCCACATGCCGGGTGCAGCTATGCCAGATGCTTTGATCCTCAACATATCTCTAAATTAGCCTGTTCGATGAGGGTGCGTTATCTTTTTTGGACCATCCGAGTGATCGTTTTTTATGCGTTTTTTGCAGTAATGCAATGCAAATAAATGGCCAACGCACGGGCTGCCCGTGCGAA